TTTCTGTAAATATCGTTGTCCACAAAACCCACAATCATCAACGTGAAGTAGCGATGTATTTTAAGATGGATTACAAGAGCTTAATTTAACTTAGTTTTAACCAGCGCACTCTGTGCGACATTTTAAGTCTCTGGAACTTGTATCCTGACGAAACCAAATGTCTATTTAATTCCGATTTGTTTATAATTATGTATAAATTTTGTAGGAAATGATAAATACAAGATGAAACGGAATGCTGTTACTCTGAGAACCAAAGCAAGATATTTTGACCTGAGTGGACGTATGAACGGAAAATGTAATTTCTTATGGGCCTACAACACAAATATCACTGAGATAAAATCGGGACATTCTCCTCAAAATCCAAAAAAAAAAAAACATGTTAAATTTCTTAGTACACAACGCATTTTAGGCTCAAACACTTATTATATAACCGCTTAGTAGTCCCTCCGTCTGTACTCATGTAACAAGTTGAGAAAGAATCAACATATTTTCATGAAATTTGATATTGTGGTGTATTATTAAAATTTGTCGACTTTTTGGGGGTAAAAATCGAACAAAAGTATGTTATTGTTGTTCGATACATTGCACGAAAATTAATTTCAAATGTATATACAGAGCCCTCAAGGTCATTTAAAATCAACGAATTAAAAACGACGCGTAGTTAAAATTTGTTTTAACAGATGGCAGCAATGAAAAATACTGCATGTCTTCGGGACAGAGGTGAATTAAACATAACTCATGAACCACTGCAGCCAACACTTTACGCAGACTTTCTAATAGTCTTCTTTCCCTGTCCCAACAAACGCTCTTAATATTACTAAACACAACGTCAAAATTTTGGTAATATATAACCCCTTGGGGCGTCACGACGGCTGGCGCCGTAATCACTAGAGGGGGTGGCGCTCAACGCACCCTTCCAGACGTCTGGAGTTACCCTTGATTACTTTCGCCGACCCCTCGTCCATTGTATGTTTCAAGTTTACTGTTTTGATATCAAAGATGCAGCAGTAAAGGCTAGCACCCGGTTGAAACGTACTGAACGTCTTCAGATGAACGACGATTAAGGCCATCTTTAATGTCACCTAGCCACAATAATGACCCTTATGACTATTCAAAGTTGTCTCCAATATGCCAGCTCTCAGTTTGGTTCATTTGCCCTCTGTGGGTTTCTCGAAGAACTAGACGACAATACTCACTTTAATAATCTAGTATTTTCTCTTCATATTGAGCTACTAGAAGAACTAGACGACAATGCTCACTTTATAATCTAGTATTTTCTCTTCATGTTGAGCTACCTATTAAAGAAGTCGGTAATTAATGTTAACTCGTTATTCATTAAGCTTGTTCTCCTCCATGTGATTCAGAACATTTCAGCTTCCAACAATTATGGATTAGAACTATAATTGGAATAAATTTGGTCTATAACTTTGAAGAAGTAATAAATATAAGTACGTCTGAGAGAAAAACCACTGAGACAAAGATAAAAACTTTAACTAAAACAGAATTTATCAAATTACAAAATAAATATCTTTACAGTTTAATCTCTTTTACCTTGGACCTTGAAAAAAACTTTTACCAAATTTGAGATTTCATGTTTTAATGACGACTAGTATGAAGATGATTGTCTTCTGAGATATTGCGCTGTGCAGTCTGGTAGATATTAACGGACGTTTCGGAAGAGATTACTGCCTCCATTATCAGGACGATGAGCTAACAACGGGCAGAAACTTTGAAATACCAATTGACAGACCAGGGCTGTCTTTTCCAAGCTATTTTTATATTTATCCCAAATTTCCCGCGCACATTTTGTTCATCAGCTGGTGAAACAGGCAGTAACGTAATTGAAACGTCGGTTAATACCTACGAGACTACACGGGCAAAACCCCATAAGACAGACATGTTCATATGTAACAACGGTTGAGTCATTACAGACGTAGCCATTAAGATACACACTGTAATTTCCTAAGTTATAAGTCAAGATCCTTGATATACTTTGTGTATTGGCTTTACTTCTGTCAACAGATCTGTTGTGTTTAGCCACACTGACATTTTATTGCATTATATTTCGTTTCTTTTTGGTGACGACCGTTGGAATCGAATATGGGACCCTTCAAATGCGATTACAGTAACGTACGATAAACACGGTATCGACCCAACAGTCGCAACTAATCATAAATCGATCTTAAAACCTTGCATACCGTGTAGTATCGAATCACTATATAAAATTACATGTATAAACAAACTTTGGTGGTGGTGGGATCTAACCCGTTTATTTGTATATGCAATTTTATATAATAAAAACATGTCACATGACAACTACTGCCCGAAACGGGAGCAAAGCCAGTTCCCGAAACGTCGTATATACTGAATATAACTCGCACGATGGACGTACCCAAAACGTCCTTGCAATTGTCTGCTAAATGCTACTCAATATTGAATTATTTATCTGAATGTCTGACAGACTGTCTGGTATATAACAAAATACTGTTGCTCTATGCCCTCACTAAATACGATTTGAGCCAGTTAGATCCACTCAAAAATATCAAACATCTTCCTATAAGGCCCTTTTTAATAATATCATTCCATTTCCATTTAGAAATTTTATTACTCAAGGTAATTCTAACGCAATTATATGATTTAAATATGTGCTGAAGTTATTTTTAGGGTAAATAAATCAATGTAGGTTCATAAACATACTATTTAAATTAAAATGTAAATGAATGGAGTTTTTTTATTATTCATATTCAATAGCTAGGGAAAACTTGTAGCAAATCAGAGTGAGAATTGACACAAGAGGGCCATCTATAAATGCGTCGCCTGCATTGAATTCAAATTCAATTATGACTCTGATTTCATTCACTAAACTCGTCGACAAGTATGATGGCGGTAGAGTCTTGAACGTGTCTGCGCACGTGCCTTCACGAATCCATACGCTTCACCGGATTAGTGTAAACTACTCAGCTACAGGTACTTCAAGCGTGAAGTAGACGCCATTTTCACCTCTCTCTAATCGTCATTCGTCTGTTTTGGTTACGTTAGATTCTGTAGGCTCGTAGCCGTATAAACGTTCCATGTGAACAGCAAAAACGTCATTGAAAAAAATTGGGTTATGTTCAAGTTTCATGTTTAAGTTTGGGTTTAATAATTACTACCGTCTGCCCTGTTGCTAGTTACTAGTCAGCCAACTATAAAAACTAGTATCAATAAATTATCTAAATGAGAGCAACTGATTTGGCTGGAGCTATATCTAGGATTCTCAAACGCAAAGTCAAGTCATGTAGATAAGCGTACCATAGTTTGAAAATATGAGATGCAAGTGATAAAGAATGAAAATACGAGTAAAAAGGGAGAGATCAAATATAACAAGCTGCTACAGTCTGCAGACGTGATTAGGAAACAATTTCCTGAGGGCCAACTGTCAAAGAAATGTTGGGATTATTTCTAATAATATTTCCAGCTGGCCAGAACGCCCAGCACATCCCACGATTGTGATCGCCAAGTAATCAGTGCTCCAGATCTCGCAGCCAAAGAACAGTAACGAATCAACACCGCGGGCTTGCACACGTTGCAGGCCGCCCTCAACTGCAGAATACCCTAGCGCAGAAACATTTCTCTTTGCATATGCTACACAAATTTTTAAGAACACACAATGGAAATATGTTCCGAGCTGGCTGTACTTGTTTTATTTAACGACACTTTTCAATTACATTCCTTACAAGGCGTGAAATGTTAAATAAAAATTATGTTTTCAGAAGGTTGTTGTCTGTTTAAAGGCATTCTTACGTCGAAACTGTTGTCTAGAAGGAGGGTCTTACTGATTGCGGTTTTCCGCGCCGTGTAATATCACAGGATTACATGGCACCATAATCTAATGCTAAAATCGACACTTTCACCTCCATTTTAACCTCAAATCTAAGACGGTTATAGAGGTTAGACTGTTTAAATTAAAATGATATGAAATGTCTTTTCCTTACGATAATTTTTACTGGGTAAGCAGTTGTATAAACTACAATATATGCATTGTATTAATATTTTGTTGTAATGCTTTAATCTTTACAAAATAAAATGCTACGTGTTGTCTCTGGTTCAGAGAGTGGCTGGTTCCATCAAACATAAAACTACTTCGGTTTTATACAAATGTGTCATAAAAATTATTATTGATTATCACGTGAAGTACATAAATATTTAAGATACTAAACTGAGCTGACAAAAATATGAAAAACATAAAAATAACAGTCTCAAACAACACAGAATACGAATATACCAGGTTTATATTTAATAATAAGAATCGCTAAATTAATCATAATATAAGTTAATAGCTGGTAACAAATTCTTCTATATTTGGTAAAGTTACAATATTTGTGAGTAAGCATAATATTCAATACCCTATATATATTAAAATAAACAGTCTTTTAGCTATAGCCTAATTCAATTCTATCTTCTCACAAAATTAAATTTTCACATAGGCCCACAGTTTAAAATATAATTTTACCCACATCTTCATTAGAAGTAACATCGTTACATCTACAAGAGATGAACTCTTAAGCAGATGAAGAAAACTTACTAATGCACAGATATTTGATTTTCATCCATAGGCCTATCTAAAATCGTTAGGGTAATTTAGTCAAAGTGTTTCGGAACTTCTGATACACTGTGCGAGTGTAAGAGACGAGAAACGTGTAATAGAATGATTTCGTTTGAAATCTCAAGGAAAGAAGGCAGGCAGGAGACCAAATCCTTTGTGGGAAAATGGATCTTAGCAACACAGTACGAGAACGGAAAAAATAAATGACTTCGAAGCTTATTCTGGTTAAAATAATATCGAAAATATATGATGCCCTTTCATCAAACATTCATTCATGAACTTCGCTACATTTTCTGAAGCTTTATTCTAAGTTGTCATAGATTCCGGTCATGGGAAGTAATTTAATATTCTCTAAATCAATAATATTTTGTTTGAAGATTGTGTAAGAACAAATTTCTTGTGTTTTGTCTTCAGAGGCCAACTGGTCTTATCCCGCATTAGCTAAGGCAGTTTGCTCCAACCAGAGTCCCGCGGGACACATCCGGCCCTAGTCTAATTGTAAACGGGAAAGCGAAATTATATGTTAATTAGTTACTGATTAAATCAATTATTTGTTTTAATCCGTCTGATCACAATATAATTTTTATTTAAAATTTCTTATAATTAAGATAATAAAATATCATTCATGTTCCATATCGATCGATCGATATGGAACATGAATGATATTTTATTATCTTAATTATAAGAAATTTTAAATAAAAATTATATTGTGATCAGACGGATTAAAACAAATAATTGATATAATATTCACAATATGACGCAATTACACTATCTTACTGATTAACACAAACTCAACTATTTCGTGATTAGTATCTGGTCTACTGTTTTACGTGCAAGTGGTACACATTCTGTTTATTCTAAAACCCTTCCTAAAATATAAGTTTCCCAGATAAATACTGGGTCAGACATAAGCTATTGCAAGAGTAAATTTAAAATAACATACAACTGTATAGTAATTTTTGTATATTTCAATAAGTGTGCTCGAGGTTTTCGATAATATTGATATTTGAGCTGACATTTGTGAATAATTATTGTTAAAGACAACGAAATCTGGCTATTAGTTTAAAAAAACAGTATCAGGTTCTTAGGTTAAACAAGAAGGACGAAATCTGGCTATTAGTTTAAAAAAAACAGTATCCGGTCCTTAGGTTAAACAAGAAGACTTCTTAGTCAGAAGAATGAAAAGGTTTGGACAACCCTGAACTACGTTATACCAAAACGTACGTGATAACGGAATTTGAGTGTACATTTTTAATTTCTGTATGTTCTTGCCAAGCAAACTTGATTAACACGTAAACGACATTTTATGATACTTGTCATGTTTAAACAAGGGTAAGATATTGTTGTCCCAAAGAGACATGGAAAATGCTACCATATGAAATAAACAAGACACTCCTACCAACATTATGAAGCCGCCATCAGGTTGGACAACCAGCGGGTATATAATGTGTAATGTTTATAGTTTACAGCTTTGGATGGAGACTGTCTCTCTCCATGTCGAAAGCGGTTATCAAGTCCGGTTGTTAGAATAAAAAGATGATTACAAACGTAATAAATTGATTGGGCGGGTCCGTTCTATAGCCGTATCTTTTATTTACATTAATAAAAACAAATCTCGAAGATTCAGCCTTCATTCAAGTGTTTTTTAAGGCTCACACACGAAAAATATTTGTTTACAGAATATATGGATACGTTTTTAATCGAGTACATGTAATTTCAAAAGTGTAACAACAATTATTCAGTTATCGTTAAAAAGTCGTTTACATTCTGCAACATCGTCAACTTTATATTTTAAATATTAGGCATGAATGACAACGTTTGGGCATATTCATCATCATCATCATCAATATCAGTGTTATTCAATTTAAACAACAAATAAGACCAGTGTTAAAGATTTCCGTCTTCTGGGTTGTTGCGCCGTGTAGTCTGGTCGATGTTAACCAACATTTCGGAGGTCATA